ACCCCCCCCCCCCCCCCCCCGAATAAATGTTCACCCTAAAAATCATCATAATTTGTAAAGAACTTGAGTCGTTTGCAAAAAAAGAAAAAAAAATACAATTAATAAATTAATTAATTAAAGATAAAGGAGTTCAAACACATTTGCTGCTAACTTTGTCTATGATGTACACCAGGGTCGCCGGAGCGATCCATTCTCTAGCGTGTATACCGGCATCCACCCAAATGGCTGGTTTAGTCCCGTCTTCCCCTATCTGAAAAACATAAGATAAAATATTAATGTACACCGCCGTAAGGCAATCTTTGTGACTTCCCAGCTCGTGAATAACTGAAGTTGTCTTTGTTCATTGTCTTTTTCGTGTATTAAGTTCATTTTTCTTTATTTTGTTTGTGTAGGTCTAAATACAGGGGCGGATCCAGAAATATTTTCTGACAGTCTTCCAAATTATCTTTGTCGATCCATCCTACATTTTTGACCGTCTTCCGACAGAAAAAAAAAATAAATACCCGTCAATGTAAACTTGAAAATCTGACCGTCTTCCGGAAGACCCAGAGGACGGCCTAAATCCGCCCTTGAAATATATGCTACTGTTGTAGGCCTAGTGAAGATTTTTTGAGGTCTCAATTTCTCGTGTTTGTCGTGAAATTCAAAAGCCTCTATATCCACTGTGACAGTAAGTAAAAAAAGAGGAAACTAAAAAACGGGTTTTTGGATTGTAATTTTGTGAACGGTCTTGGTTATGGTATACATTGGTGATAAAGGGAAACACTAGAAATCCACCAATTGCAAGAAAAAATATTTTGCTCTATATAAAGTCAAACCATCTGCTTTTAATTTTCTGTATGTCCATGAATCCGAAGTCACCGATGTCTTAGACTCGAAGATCACTCACTTTCAACACTTTCATGTCCTTGCCCTCGTAAGTTTGACCAATCGTTTCAACAGTAGCTAGACCATTGCTTTCTGCAGCCACAGCGTCCAACCAGGCGTTGATCTAGGGAAAAAAATAAAACATTCATTATTCAGAACAGCACAACAGCGCTTTAGATCAAAACATTGGTTCAACAAAATGTCAACATTTGTGATTTCGCGTGATAGATTTCAGTCAAATGCAGCAATGTTCTGACGCGACAAGCGAACTTGGATTAGAATTTGAAAAATAAATAGGAGCAAGTCTGTTTTATAACTCGGGCTAGTCTATGCTGTAAAATTTTTTAAATGAGACATGCAAACGCTTTTTTTCTGCAATGCGTCCTATTTAATGTATGGCTCATTGGATGTTACGCAAACCACCGAACCGTACGTTTTATGTCGAAATGACAAAACTTGCTGTGCCAGTACACTGAGTTAAATTTTGTGAAATGTTTGAAGCCTCACATACCTCTCCGTGACGTGCATACGTCCCCACAATACTATCCGTTGCCAAGTTACTGAACGTTGCCACAGCATCTTGTCCATTTTTGCACTTGTTTTTACCCTTCCCCTTCCAGTTGCTATTGCCCTGAGACTCGCATGCCTTGCTCTTTATCTTGTCCTCGCGGGCTTTATTATTACTGGTTGTCTCAGTATCTATGAGGCTTATAAATAATAATAATAATAATAATAATAATAATAATAATAATTTTATATTGCGCTCCGCTTTTGGATCAGCGTTGTGTAGAAAAAGAAGATTGAAAACAAAAATTCTTTAATATTCAACAAAGATTAAATTATCCCTTTGACATTTCCAATAAAATTCATGCTATAGTAAGGCGTACTACTCATTATGCGACTCAAAAACCCTGTTCTAATCTGATCTTATTCTGCTACCGGTTTAATTGCACGGACCATTATTTTACCATTTTTTTTTTTAATTTTCAGCTCCAAGTGCCATCAAAAATAATTTATCTTCGTGTTGTTAAATTAAACGGTTAAGATTACAATTATCACAACTGAACAGGATTTTCATGGTTTCCACCGCTATCTGCAGTACTCATGTGTCTTAATACGATTGTTTGACAGCACCTTTCTATTCGTGCCTATTTCATATCAATTAAATATGATACAGCTGTATAACTCTCACCTCTGAATATCCTCCTGAATGACCTTATACGTGATCTTATTGGCCTCTATCAGCCGGATAAAGGTTCTATAGGTCTTAGGTGGGACTGCGATATCGATGTTGTGGGTGCCCGGATGGTCGCTTGGGGTCCAAAAATCTATCTGGAATTGTTGTGATATTAGTTGAATATATTATGAAAATTATAATGAAAGGAAAATCAGTGTCTGGCGGAGTTTACAGCTATATAAACAAATGAATCGCATACCCCCCCCCCCACACACACACACACACACACTCACACACATGCCGTTATGAATACCCTGGATACACAAGTGGAAAAGTTGTTTCGTCACATGAGATAAACTGATTCTATTTTTACTTTTATCGTAATGTTGAATTGTTAATTTTTTCAGTGTTTAAAAATCAGACAAAAACCTTTTTTTTCTTTCTTTTCCCTATTACTGGGTTTTACTTTTCTTTTTCTAGGCTTCAACTTACGCCTAATTGGACGGTGTTTTCCAGTCTCTTTAGAAAGTCAATTTGGTCCTGTGTAGTCGGGGAAAGTCGCACAAGGCGGTAGCTGAAATGCACATAAATATTACTTATATATTAATAAAATCCTTTCCCTGAATGTACAATGACGCAACCAGCTACATGTATGTGCGATACAGGACTTTTTGGATGACAGTCGACAGATCTCTTCTTTCTTCTTGGTGCGCATCTGAGAATTTTGGGAATTAATTAAGTTGGTTAATCATTATGACTTGGACACGGAGGGGGCTTCAGAAATATCTTGCTGCCTTCTCCACCAGCACGAACATCCATGCGTTTGTACTCCTATGGCCGGTTCTGATATGTAAGGCCAGTTAATAGGAGTGCGAACGCACGGGTTTTCGTGCTACCTTCTCCCCCTGCCCCCTCCTACTCGAGTGTTTTTTTCAATCTTTTTAAAGAATCTTAATTTAGTGTTTACCTTCAAACATTTTTCGACCAACGCCATTTAGTCAGGTAATATAGATTGTTGGTCAAATGTGCTCATATGAACAATAACAGTTCGTATAAATTTTGAAGTAAAAATGTATTCTGTTATCCCGTTTTGATGTCGCAATGCTGTGGTAATGTCGACTTTTAAGTTTTAGTAGGTGAGAGGTGGGGAGAAAGGTAAGGCCAATTTTCGGGCGGTCTATAGGTTGTAAAAGATTACGTATGAGATAAAGACATGTGTTGTTAGATAGCATTCCCATCGAGAAGAGCCGAAGTCTAGCAAGGCCAAGACCTATATATGGCGGACCTACATGAAAGGAAGACCGCGTAATCCTTTAATGGTCTCTCAATGAATGTCAATGAATGTCATTGAGAGACCATTCAAGGATTACGCGGTCTTCCTTTCATGTAGGTCCGCCATATTTAGGTCTCGGCCTTGCTTGACTTCGGCTCTTCTCGATTTGAATGCTCTCTTAAACCGCGTGGACTTACCGCGTGACTGTCTTATCCCCTACTATCACGACTGCTGCAGATTGTCACACGCGCAAGTCGTTGCGTTCAAACACTGTTTGGGCTAATTAAAACATGTTATGCGTCCAAGCAAACTTTTCTACCGTGTTCGACTAAAACGCGCCCTCTCACTTCATCAGCCGATTGTTGTTTTTATACGTCTCACAAATGTTAATTCACCCACGACAAAATGACAGCGCCAATTGGCATTCGGATATGAAAACAAATGACGCGTTTTAGTCAATTATGAGCTGGTCTGCTCCAACGACATTGAGCAACAAGCTCAGATACATTTTTCTAAGACGGTCGATCTAAAAAGCCGTTTTTATATTATCAATAAGTTCTAAAAATGATTAATTTCCCATTAGACAGAAATAAAATATGAAATACCTAACGCACACCCGTACCACTATCAAAAAAAAAAAAAAAAAAAAAAAAAAAAAAAAAAAAAAAAAACAGATCGGTCTATTATTATTTTTTCGATATTATTTTGTAATATAAGTGAAGGTATAATAATTTATAGACATGACTGTTTATGATTTTAGAACAACCACTGAATAACTTTTCATAAAACAATAAGAATATATATCAGTTTTAAATTATACCCACTTTTTATAACCACGGTTTTTCTCTTTCCATACTGGTTTGGACCAAGCGACTGCCACTAAGGCACACAACAGGACAAGGGTTCCCACCCTCATTTCGTCTCCCTGGGATAAAGGTGCCGATCGAGGTTTAACTAAGGCCAAATGGCAGGCATTATATATACATGTATATGGTGATATCGCCGTGTAGGCGGGCATATGATACAAGCCATTTAGACTCTCTTAAACAGCTAGTTTAGTTTTATAGAATTCATCTATGGAGACGGATTTAAAGCACGTTGACGATTATATCCAGGCCTACCCAACTACCAGACTAGGCACCGCATGATCCTGAAATCACCAGTAGATCGGACCACACTACCCGTTTTCGAGGTGTGGGTCAGTACGCGCTTCAAAGTATCAGACGCGACACCGCTCTTGCCTAGTACGCGATGTGATAGTGATGATTCTGAGCGGGGTTGGAAAGTAGTTACCCTAGGTTCTAGATTTCCGTATTGCCAGCTCGATCTTGATTTCAGCAATACGAAACCCTAGCCACTAGTCAACCTGGAGGCGTCCTTCGGCAAAATTTTGCCTGAGGCGCTTCCATATTTGGAAGTCACAAGTCTTGTACGTCACAGATTTGACAGCCTGGAGCTGCCTTTCCCGCCTTGCGCTGATACGTAATCCTGCAGACGAGACAAGAAGCAAAGTGGCTGAAGCGGAGTTTGAAATTTGAACTAAGAATATCTTGCAGTCGAAGGTCAGTACTAAAACACAAGCAACATTCTGCTTTAAAAACTGATTTTGGTCTAGCCATTGCACAGCCCTTATAGTGGTGTCGGGCATACAGTGTAGCTGTCTAACTTGGCACAGGGCAAGCACGTGTATTGTGTTTATATCTTCAGGGGCAAATGTTCTTTGATAAGCAAAAAATACAAAAACATTGAATATATATTTTTCTTTTAGAAACATATTATTTATTTTTTACTTTACATCTTAAATACAGTAAATAAAATCAAATAAAACAGAATTAAATCTGTTTTACGTTTTATTTTGGTTTAATGACATTCAACTGCAGATTCACTGCGGAGCAGTTCTTTTTGATTGACGGAATTCGTACACTGTCGCTATTCCTCAGGGCCAGTAAAAGCGATTCCATCACAATATTTTTAATAAACTAACTTTTACTGTGCCCTGACACTCAGGGTAAAAGTAGTGCATCTCATCTCAAAATTTGTTCGGGGGTATGATATACTGCGTAGGCCTACAGACGCACACCTTGAAAACAGGTAGTATGGCACGGCCTACCGGTGAATTCGTGATCATTCGGTGCCGAGTTTGGTAGTTGGGCAGGCCTGATATCTAAGAGACCATTCCCACAGATTTTTGGATCGATGAATCTCCCTGGGGAGTCTCACTATATTGCGACCAACTTAACCGGCTTAAATGACTGTCGAGCCTAGTAAAGCTGTTAGGGGGTAATTATCTTTACCCTAGCTGATTTGGTAGGCGGGGCAGACATTTAAGCCTCTTGAGCTGAAAGCAATTTAGCGTAAACCCCCAGGGAGTTAGGTCGATCCAGATGGATCGAGCTAAGTATGGGAACCCAGTCTAAGTGTTCAATAACGGCTTTCACTTTACCACTAATGCAAGACACTGTTATGTAGATTTATTTGTTAATTCAATTCTTTATTTGGTTATTTACTTCTTAGAATACTTAATTGCTATCTCATTCTGGTACGTATGTGTGAATAATCCCGTACCTCGATTTGCACACGAGTGCAGATAATGTGCTGTATATTGCTACATGTATCCAAGAAGTTGTAAAAGTTGTACAATATCTTGATGTACAGTATCAGACCGCGGAACAGTCTATTTTTTATACTTGAATATCCCCCCCCCCCCCATTGTCTAAAACACCGTAGAACGTTATATTTATGAAATATTCCTTTAATATAATAATAATAATAATAATAATAATAATAATAATAATAATAATAATAATAATAATAATAATTTCATTATGCACACTAACTACTATGTACAATATAATAAATAAGATAATAGTTATGATAGTAAATAGGCCTAAACGAAAAAACAAATATAGCATTATACTATATACCGGCTATATTGCATGTATAACGAGATAAGTAAAGTGGATGAGGTTCTTTGTGTATTTGTTACGAATCAACTTGCGTTTTATCATTATCTGGTGATCTTGCAAATTATCAGATTATGAGAAAAAGTACTTGTACCAACTACACGGTGTATAATCGGTCCAAGATAAAATAGACGGCTGCGTTTTTCTTCTCTAACACAATCCAGTTCCGACAACTAGAATGGATAACAGTGCATCTAACGCATTGCAGGCACTTCCGGGGCATTTTCACGTTTGGTTATTGAATTTTTGCAATCATGATTGTCATTTGAAAGGTCTTAACTTAATATTAACTCCATTTAAGAAAATATGCAAGTATAAACCAATTAGTAAATGCATGAACAAATAAACAGGTAAATAAAATAAACAAATGGTCAAAACTGTAAAAAGAATTGATGGAATTCTTTTGGCTCATCAAAACAACCAAACTGAATCAGTGCAAAAAGAAACATTGAAAGCATCGCTCTGCCATTCCACATAACCTTTTCTCTTTATTTCCACAGTTCCTGACCAATAAAGACATGCAATGTAAGGACCGCTTTTTGTCGCTTACAGTTTGAACAAATGTTCCATAATGTTGAAAATAACTTATTAAATAAGTTCAGAGGCGACTTTCTTCACGGCGGCATAAACCTCTTTCCCACTGGGAAGAATTTCAGAGGCCGGAATGACAAACCCATTAGAAGCATTGCCATCAGGACGGAGCTCTAGCGTATACGCATATTTAATTCCTGCCTTTTCTTTAGCCCAGTCGTAGGATCCACCCGACGCAGCATCTGAAATTGATTTTTTTTTGTTATTTATATCAGTGTATGTGCCAGATCTAGTAAAAGAAAAAAAAACAATGTAAAAAGGAGAACATTTACACAAATTTTCACGACACTAATTTAATATACACATATAGCTGAACACATGCTCTTCTCCACAAAGCGGTGTGACTTTGTCTCACACACACACACATACACACACTAGCAAAAAGAGAACACTATTTTTAACCAATGAAGTTATATCTTTCTAGCCTCTACCTTGGCCACAGACTAATTTTTCACTAGATATTTACATGCATGTCTCTGGCTAACTCTTGGCACATTTCTCCACTCGCGTTGGAAAAAAGTAATATCTTTCCAGTGGTTCTCTCTCTCTCTCTCTCTCTCTCTCTCTCTCTCTCTTTGAATATTTAACTTACACAGAATATCCGGAGGGGCGCCAACTATCCAGGATTTCCCATTAACCCCTTGTACAGCTGTCTTGCCGAGATTAGCCACGCGCATCTACATTTGGAAAAGACAGATTTAGAAATTGTAATAAGCAGTCATGGAGTGTTTTCCCCATATACTCGTATGTGCTGAGGGTATGCTAATGGAACAACAGGATAAAGAGACATTGATGCTGATTGAGCTCTACATTTGCCATTCAGTACATTGTAATTTCTACCAAAATACGTATTTAAACCAAATCATCATTCACATGTCGCCAGGCTCAAATTTACATTAAGAACCTCCATCAGATTTTGGATGCTTGAAAATGCATGAGTATATCAGTCTAAATTAGAGAAGTAATTTCAAAAAGCTGAAGGTAATGTCATTTCAATACTAAAGTTAAAATATTGACGAGGCGAAAACAAAATCTAGAAAATCCAGACAATTCCCCCATAGTCAACACCATCTTCAAAATCTGAGAGCTAAGAAACTGTAAGAGAAACTAGTGTCTAGTCTCCTGCGAAAAAAATGATCAGATCCGCGCGCGCGCGCGCGCGCGCGTGTGTGCATGTGTGTGTGTATGTGTGTTTGCACTAGTGCGAACTTTCCCTTTGGCTGTCAAATGACCACTGTAAATCAATACTCAATCGATGTTTTATGCTCTTTCTAAAGTTGGATCGACCGAAAGTGTAAAAGGGTCCATTCCCCCCCCCAAAAAAAAAAAAAAAAAAAAAAAAAATTGAATTTGCTGCCTACTGTTTTATATCTAAATTTACCATTTCATCATTGTCCGAGGGTTTTTCCCTGCCCCAACCCCATGGTGTCAGCCAAAGTTCCGAATAGGAATGGAAAGACAGATACATCTTCAACCGGTCCTTGTGGTCGTTGATGAAGTCCCTTATATTTTGGGTACATTTTTCAGAGAACGGCGCAGTTCCAGGGTAAACGTTGGAGCAAGGGTTACTGCTGGTGCCAGCCTCTTGAAAAAACAAGATAATGATGTTACATGTTGTCAAATCTTCACGAAAAAATGTCGTTCAGTGGAACTTAACATTCCCAGATTTTTAATAAGAAGAGACATGAATGGCCTCTCAGAATGAGAAGAGCCGAGTGCTAGCTTGGCCACGGACTAAATATGGCGGGCCTACATGAAAGGAAGACCGCTTAATTCTGTAATGGTCTCTCCGCCTCTCACACGCCTCCCCACGCGTCGTCTCTGCAGGGACACAGTAATTAAATCTCGGCTCAATTCAACTGGTCGAGGAACAACGCGTGGAATACATGTAGAGTTTCATACGGAATACAAAGAAATGCACGTGCACTAGAACATACGCTTTGTTTCTCATTACACCAACATTGTTAACACACGATGCGTTAAAATGAGTAACAAAGGATATTGTGCACTGCCTCCCGCACACGATCAATTAAATCCAATGGAACTATGCACATTTCAAACACTTGACTTCGGACTAATTCGCGAGAATTTGTGTGTTTTTGGATGTTCCTTAGACTGCATTCCCACAGATTTAGATAGATCCATCTGGATCGTCCTAACTCCCTGGGTATTCACGCTAAATTGCTGTCAGCCTAGCGCGCACGAAATTTAATTACCCCCTTACAGCTTTTAGTAGGTGGGACAGACATTTAAGCCGGCTAGGCTGACAGCAATCTAGTGAGACTCCCCACGGGGATAGATCGATCTAAAAATCTGTGGGAATGCAGTCTAACTCAATCTCCCTACCTCCAAAGTGGGAATCCCAATTTCTGTTGGGGTCTACGCCAGTACATCTCCGACTCTGAGGTGAACGAGTCTTTCTCCACAGACGATCCTTTAATAGAAATCAATACATAAAAATAAAAATATATATGTAAAAATATTAAAGGTTCGTGAAGAAAATTCATATTAGTGTTTTTAGTGTCATATTGTGTTGGAAACGGGAGAACTTATGGCTGTGGCATTTTCAGAAAATCTGACATATTAGCATGAAAAAGTGCTGTATTTATATTTACACTAAACATTTTGATATAGCATTTTAATATTAACAAGCCAATGTCGCGGATAACTACCAAAGTCAAGAACGCAACTCTTAGACGCAACTGGAAAAATCACACCGCCCTCAACAACAATGCTTGGCCTAAATTTCCAGTAACATATAGGTTTTAACTTAATTAAAAAAAATGCACTTAAATTTCACACACACCAACCAGTTTCGATACAGTTTGATGTGTCTACTCAACATACCTCCGGTTTGCCCCCATTCCCTTGTTAATGTAGCTATCATATACCAGATATACCTACAGATGTATGTGAATACTCGTAACCGTCGGGATTTGCAACAGGCAGCATATACCAGGTGTACTTATTCAGCTCTGGACGGCTGTTGTATTCAGAGAGAAACTATAAAGCGAATGAATGAAGCATGGTTAGTTCACGTAGATAACACTTGATAAAATCTAAAATGGTACTTTGTAATACTTGCTTCAAACCTTTTTTGCTTTAAATATGCACAATGTTTTTTTATATAAAATTGTCCTCCTTCAGATTTATCTTGGTCCAAAGTAGACCATTATTTGGGTCTAAAAGTTAAAACTGTCTATCCCTAAAATGTATCACAGTTTGTGAAGAACTTAAGTCGTTTGCAAAAAAAAAAAAAAAAAAAAAAAAAAAAAAAAAAAACAGTTCAAACACATTTGCTGCTAACTTTGTCTATGATGTACACCAGGGTCGCCGGAGCGATCCATTCTCTAGCGTGTATACCGGCATCGACCCAAATGGCTGGTTTAGTTCCGTCTTCCCCTATCTGAAAAAATAAGGTATAATATTAATGTTCATCGCTGCTGTTGCTTTATAAGTTGTAAGGCAATTTTTGTGACTTCCCAGCTCGTGAACAACTGAAGTTATCTTTGTTCATTGTCTTTTTCATTTATAAAGTTCGTTTTTCTTTCTTTCTTTTATTTTAATTTATTATATTTTATTATTTTATTATTTTTTCTTTTTGTGTGTGTGTGTGTGTGTAGGCCTAAAATACATGTATATGCTATTGTTGTAGGTTTCGTGAGGAATTTTTGAAGTTTAAATTTCTCGTGTTTACAGTGAAATTCAAATGCCTCTATATCCACTGTGACAGTAATTAAAAAAGGTAATTCAAAAGCGGGTTTTTGGATAGTAATTTTGTGAACGGTCTTGGTTATGGTAGCCTATACCTTGGTGTTAAAAAAAAAAAAAAAGAGAGAAATCGACCGAATGCAAGAAAAATATTTTGCTCTATATAAAGTCAAACCCTCCGCTTTTTTGAAAGCAAAAAAGAAAAATTAAAAAAGTTTCTCTATGTCCATGAACCGGAAGCCACCAATGTCTTAGACTCGAAGATCACTCACTTTCAACACTTTCATGTCTTTGCCCTCGTAAGTTTGACCGATCGTTTCAACAGTAGCTAGACCATTGCTTTCTGCAGCCACAGCGTCCAGCCAGGCGTTTATCTAGGAATAGTAAAACGTTCATTTATTAGAACAGCACAACAACGCTTTAGATCAATACATTGGTTCAGCAAAATGTCAACATTTGTGATTTCGCGTGATAGATTTCAATCAAATGTAGCCAAGTTCTGACGCGAACATGAATTGGAATCTGAAAATCAAATAGGAGCGAGTCTGCCCTACATCTCGGGCTAGTCTATGCTGTAAAAAGGCGTTATCTTTAAACGAGACGTGCAAACGCTTATTTTCTGCAATGCTTCCTACATTTTTTCATCAACCAAATGTTTATCCAATTCTTCCCCACAATGACATAAATACGAAGAGAGAGAGAGAGAGAGAGAGAGAGAGAGAGAGAACATTCACATACCTCTCCGTGGCGTGCATACGTCCCCACAATACTATCCGTTGCCAAGTTACTGAACGTTGCCACAGCAACTTGACCGTTTTTGCACTTGTTTTTGTCCTTCCCCTTCCAGTTGCCCTGAGACTCGCATGCCTTGCTCTTTATCTTGTCCTCGCGGGCTTTACTATTACTGGTTGTCTCAGTATCTATGAGGCTTATAGATAATAATAATAATAATAATAATAATAATAATAATAATAATAATAATAATAATAAATAGTTATTTAATACCGCACTCCACATTCGGCCCAGCGTTGTGTAGAATAGAAAGATTGAAAATAAAAATTCTTTTAAAAATATTCAACGAAGATTAAATTATCCTGTTAACATTTACACGAAAATTTATGCAATAGTAATAGTAGGGTGTATTGCTCATTGTGCAACTTAAACCCCTGTTCTAATCTGGTCTTATTCTGCTACCGGTTTAATTGCACGGACCATTATTCTAATATTTTTTTAATTTTAAGCTCCAAGTGCCATCAAAACTAATTCATCTTCTTGTTGTAAAATTAAATGGTTAAGGTTACAATAATCACAATTTAACAGGATGTTCATGGTTTCCACCGATATCTGCAGTACTCATGTGTCTTAATACGATTGTTTGACTGCACACTTCGTGTTTATTGCCTATCCATTAAATATGATACAGCTCTCACCTCTGAATATCCTCCTGAATGACCTTATACGTGATCTTATTGACCTCTATCAGCCGGATAAAGGTTCTATAGGTCTTAGGTGGGACTGCGATGTCGATATTGTGGGTGCCCGGATGGTCGCTTGGGGTCCAAAAATCTATCTGGAATTATTATGACATTAGCTGAATATATTATGAAAATAATAATGATAGGAAACCAGTGTCCGGCGCCGCTTAAATAAACAAATGAATCGCACCCCCCCCCCCCCACACACACACACACGCGCACATGCTGTTACGAATACCCTGCTGGATACGCAAGTAGAAAAATTGTATTTTAACATGTGATAAACTGTTTCAATTTTTAGTTTAATGATTATTTTGATTTGTCATTTTTTCAAGTGTTTGAAAATCAGTAAAATCCACCTTTTCTTTCTTTTCTTTATTACTGGTTTTCAATTCTTTTCTTTTTCTGGGTTTCAACTTACGCCTAATTGGACGGTGTTTTCCAGTCTCTTGAGAAAGTCAATTTGGTCCTGAGTAGTCGGGGAAAGTCGCACAAGGCGGTAGCTGAAATGCATGAAAAATATGACTTATATGCTAGTAAAATCTTTTCCCTGAATGTACAATGACGTAACCAGCTACATGTTTTTGCGATACAGGACTTTTTGGATGACAGTCGACAGATCTCTTAAATCATCTCGGTGCGCATCTGAGAATTTTTGGAATCAATTACGTTGGGTAATCAGTTTAACTTAGACACGGAGGGAGTTTCAGAAATATCTGGCTGCCTTCTCCACTAGCACGAACATTCATACGTTAGTACTCCTATGGCCGGTTCTGATATGTAAGGCCAGTTAATAGGAGTGTTAACGCACGGGTTTTCGTGCTACCTCCCCCCCTGCCCCCTCCTACTCGATTATTTTTTCAATCTTTTCTAAAGAATCTTTAAAAAGTGTTTGCCTTCAAACCTTTTTCGGCCAACGCCCCTGTCATTTAATCAAATAATACAGAGTGTTGGTCAAATCAAGGAGTTATAACAGATAACTCCTTGGTCAAATATGCTAATAATAACAATAACAGTTCGTATGAAATTCGAAGTAAAAATGTATTCTGTTATCCCGTTTTGGTGTCGCAATGCTCGATAATGTCAACCATTCGATTGTGAGAGGTGGAGAAAAAGGTAATAACCATTCACATCAAGAAGAGCCGAGGTCTAGTGAGGCCGCGACCTAAATATGGCGGACCAACATGAAAGGATGTCCGCGTAATCCTATAATGGTCTCTCCGCCTCTCACACGCCTTCCTGCAGGGGCACAGGTAGGTTGTAATAGATAAAGCATGGGATTAAAACATGTGCTGTTAAACCGCGTGGACTTACCGCGTGACTGTCTTATCCCCCACAATCACGACTGCTGCAGATTGTCACACCCGCAAGTCGTTGCGTTCAAACGCTGTTTGGGCTAATAAGGCGTCCATGCAAACTTTTTTTATCGCGTTCGACTAAGACGCGCCCTCTCACCTTATCAGCCGCTTGTCGTTTCGATACGACTCAAAATTGTTGTTTTACCCACGACACAATGACAGCGCCATGGCATCCGGATATGAAGCCAAATGACGCGTTTTAGTTAATTATGAACCGGTCTGCTCCAACGACATTGAGCAACAAGCTCAGATACATTTTTCTAAGATGTTCGATCTAAAAACCCGTTACTCGTTTTTATATTATAAATGAGTTCTAAAAATGATTTATTTCCCGTTAGATAGAAATGAAATATGAAATACCTAACACACACCCGTACCACAATAAAAACGACATATCGGTCTATTATTATTTTTTCGATATTATTTTTGTAATATAGGTGAAGGTATAATAATTTATAGACATGACTGTTTATGATTTTAGAACAACCGCTGAATAACTTTTCATAAAACAATAAGTACGTATATCAGCTTTAAATTATACCCACTTTTTATAACCACGGTTTTTCTCTTTCCATACTGGTTTGGACCAAGCGACTGCCACTAAGGCACACAAAAGGACAAGGGTTCCCACCCTCATTTCGTCTCCCAGGGATAAAGGTGCCGATGGAGGTTTAACTAAGGCCAAATGGCAGGCGTTATATATATATATATAGTGATATCGCCGTGTAGGCGGGCATATGATACGAGCCATTTAGACTCTCTTAAACAGTTAGTTTAGTTTTATAGAATTACATGTAAAAAGGATTTAAAGCACGTTGACGATAATATTGTCTAAGGGTTCAATAACGGCTTTCACTTTACCACTTATGCAAGACACTGTTATGTAGATTTATTAATATGTTAAATAAATTCTTTATTTGGTTATTTACTTATTAAAATACTTAATTGCAATCTCATTCTGTTTCGTATGTGAGCAATCCCGTACGAGACCTCGATTTGGATATTGATAAAGATAATGTGCTGTATATAGCTATCAAACCGCTGAACATAGTCTATTTGTTATATTTGAATATCCTTCTTATCATTTATTTTCTCAAACCATTGCTGTTAATGTCAGCTGAGAGAACGGGACTGCCCTTGGTGGTTTTTTCTCAGGGGGGGGGGGGGGATGGAAACGGAACTGGTCGTTCACTCCCAGGCTAGCCCCACGATTGTCTAAAACACCGTAAAACATGTTATATATTTATGAAACATTCCTTTTGAAATTACATGTATTTTGGAAAAATGCTGGTGGGGTGCATCTGAAATAATAATAATAATAATAATAATAATAATAATAATAATAATAATAATAATAATAATAATAATAATAATAATAATAATTTTAAAGTGCGCAGAAATATTCTCTAACTACTATGTATTATGTATATGATAACAGAATTTATGGTAAATAAATGAAAAAAATAATATAGTATTATACATTATACCGGATATTTTATAACGATATACAATTAAAGTGGATGTGATTCTTTGTGTAGGCTATTTGTTAGCTATCATTAACGTTTAATCATTATATAATGCTCTTGGAAATTATCATATTTTGATAAAAAGTATATTTGTAATTCAAAAAACAGCAAGCCTTTAATTGCTATTTTTTAATAAAATATGTTGAAATAGAGTATTTTCATTAGAGAACAAATCAAAAGGTCATTAATCAGTGCTGTCTTGAGCTTGAGCGCAGCTCTTCAGTTTGAGGAAAATAAGTACAGATATCTTGCTTCCCAAGAAAGGACAAAGGTTTTGAAACAATTTTCCTTCAGTCTCTGTCCGCTGTTTGTTTGAGTATTAGGATAGAGGTTTGACGGACGAACTGTGGTCATACTCATTCCTCAAGATTATTTTCTTGTCTTAATGACGAAAATTTGAAAGGATTATCCGTGTTTACAGATGGCAGCACTGACCCTTTACTATGTGTGACGTCACGATTACTAAGACTCACCAGCTAATGAGGAAATTGTTTTGATACCCAAATAATCGTGTAAACTTACAAATTTAAACAATTAAAATGTTCGGAAAGAAACCCAGCATGGAAGGTAAGCAACAATTCCACATTAACGAGTGAATGTAGAGTTTAAATTAAGCGATACGCTGGTTAGAACATACATTTCCATTTATCGCTAGCAGTGTGAAAATAAGAAAGATTGAGACAGAGACATCTCCAGTCATTGAGAAGTAATGTTCTAAACAGATATTAGTCCTGAGCAGGTTCCGATAAGTTATTTATTACAATATATGGCGTTTAGTTATCTCTGTGTACGAGTAGAGCAGTTATCTTAGGAAGGTTAATGAAATGGTGTGAACTTTATTAATTTCAGATACCCTCTTCCAGCTTAAGGTTTGTAGTTTTTATTATATTTTATGGTTCATGATTTTTGTCAATATTTCTAAGAAAGCTAATGAACAAACATGATGTGGTCAGTAGAGATGTAAGTCCTTTGATTTATTTGATAATCTGGGCATTACAATTATATGTTTACCTTCTCACCCCAAATACCTGGCCACTGCATGCATCTCAGGGCCAATTTCATTTCTGAATTTTAGTTAAGAACCAGCAGCTGATTGATGCCCATTTGCTTTAAAGACAAACTGTATTTTTCATTTTAGTTCTCAATAAAACAGATGGAGAGAATGGCTAAAAAAGCAGAAAAAGAGTCAAATTCACAAAAAGCAAAAGTAAAAAAGGTCTGTATGAGAGGGCTTGACTCTAGTTTCTGTTAAAATTCATATCAGCAAATGTCTTTACTAGTACATGCTGCATTTGGTTGGGTATGTATGTCACTCAGTCACTGCTCACATGTGTGTGTGTGTGTGTGTGTGTGTGTGTGTGTCCATGTGTGTGTGTGTGTGAGAGTATTTCATGTATTCTGGGAGATTATCATTAAAGATAGAAGGAAAAACTTAACGTAGAATGGATGGTTTGTTAACAGAATTCACTTAAAAATAGGCAAATAAAGCTTACTATATAATGTGGTGATTTTCTACTTCAAAAATGTATCTGTATTATTATAGAAATTATATACAAATTTGCCATCGTGGATGCATCACTCCTCTTTAAGTGTGGAATCTTCATTATTGCTTTTGTATATTTAGTTGATGTAAAAATCATGCTGTTGCTTATTTTATGTTGTTTTTACAAGGCTCTAACACAGAGGAATGTAGAAGTGGCCCAAGTATATGCAGAAAATGCTATTAGGAAGAAAAACGAAGGCCTTAATTATCTCAGAATGGCAGCCAGAGTGGATGCGGTTGCTTCACGGATACAGACAGCAGTCACAATGCAACAGGTTTGTATTCTTTTAAGATACAGTAATGACTGAATTTTTTCAGTTGGAGAAATTGTGAATTTTACATATCTATGCTGTATTTTTCTTAATGCCTTAAAATGAACATTTTGCTAAAGATTAAGTAGTAGCTACGAAACTGAAAAGCAGGCAACTATATAGTTCTATACATACAGTAAAGCACCACAAATTCTATATAGAAATGTATTTTTTTAATGATTCCAAAATTTTTTATCTGAAATTTGATGATTTTTCCTATTGGGAGGCTATGAGTCATTACTGTAAGTAGGTTATACAACACGTTTTATATAATGTGACTGTATCAATAATCATGCGTTAGTGGTGTTTATTTTCCATATTCAAACAGGGAGCACCCTTAGAGTGCAGTCCTCCCCCAAAGGAAAAGACAACTAAATGGATATTATATCTAAATATAATCTTGAAATATTGTAATAAAGACCTGGATTTGGGTCTTGAATATATAATCTCATTATTATGGTTTGACTACCCCTGTGGACAATCCAGTTTTGTTTTCCAGCTTGCTTACTTTTTCTTTCAGATTGCTGTGTTCCACCAATTATGATCTTGGGAGTTCAGTGATCATTTCTTCATAGAGTTCATAGAATATATTTTAATCAGTGTATCTCTCATTTTATCCATGGAGTTTTCCACTATGCATCCACAGTCTTGTGTTACTTGTTTTTCTGTACCTATCATCTGCCTTTTCTAAGACTTGTTTCTTTTTAGAGAGTTTTTAGGGGTTTTTTTATTGGTTTGGTGTCTGGTTGTATCAGTCTCCTCTGATAAATGAAAATAATTTTTTTCATTGCTTTTGTGCAGTTGCTTTTATTTGGAATATTTGCCAAAAGTTATAATTTTGTAGCTGTGCTATTGCCTCAGAATATTTTGACTGGCATACTGGAAAACTTATGCACATGGCACTAATAGTTAATTAATGTGAACTATAAATTTACTTCCAGATGACCAAAAATATGGAAGGAGTTACAAAAGCCTTAGACAAAGCAATGGCATCGATGGACCTAGAGAAAGTAAGTCTCTCCTGTCTTCTATAGAATGACAGTGAAGTTTTGAAAGTACCTTGCTGTATATTTTATTTGCATGCAGAGTTATCTTTATTTACGTTTCATTTATGTATTTTTTGACCAATCAGATCTTGTAATTTGCAGAATTGTAATGTATTTTTAATCCTAAAAGATGATAAGACTTTTCTCATCAAAGTGTTTAGTATAAAATAATTTTATATATATTTACTACCAAAGATTAAGCATGAATCAAAGTTTTGCTTGCCGTTGTTATTCTTAGGTTCAAGAAGTGATGTCTAAATTTGAGAATCAGTTTGAAGATCTAGATGTTAGAACACAGGTAAGTTTTAAAAAGGAAGTCTCATTAACTTTTATCAATACATTTTTTACCAGTTTTGTGGATTTATTTTAAATTCCTGCATAATGTATTTGGGGGGATGTTAATAGTGAAAACTGAATAATAATATGTAAGCAAGTGTATTGAATTTTTTTTCACTTCAAGTTCTGCAATACGATTTCACTAATTGAATTTATCGGTAGATATAAAAATGATGACATAATTTAATCAGACCTTTCAAAAATTTGAACAATAATGCCACTAAACTGGTTAAGAAGTGTGTATCCACTTTATGAAGTGAAGGGGGTATTTGAATGAAAATGCCCATTGTGCTGGTTTGTCACACCCCATTGGCTGTCACAGCTACCACAATCTCAAAGCTACAATGATAGTTTGTTCAAACAACTGCTAAACCCAAGAGTTATTACCTCTCCATTATTTCTTCCATATCTGGCACAGAGGCTATAGGTGTTATTGTAGACTCTAGCTGAGTTGAAAGTGTCTTTTCAGACACTGTGTCAATATATAACTGTATTTATTTAATACATGGTCATAACTCTTTGAGTTAGGTTGGCATTTGAGGGAACTGTATTTGTAACTTTTGAATGCATATCACAACTGATGAAATTATGTGCTGGATCACACAATGATAATAATTATTATAATTACTCAAAGTATAAAATCCAGTTATGTTCTGTGACTTTAAAAGTTGAAAATAAATATAAAAGGCAAAAAAAAAAAAAAAAAAGAATGAAAAAAGATGAGACAAATATTGATTAAAACAAATTGATTTAAAAAATGTAGCAATTAAAATATTACTTCATCAAGTCTTTTTAAAAAATTGTGAAAAATTTTTCATCATAAAATTTCAATTATAAAATCCCTTTAAATAGACCTGTATTTTCTTCCTCATTTTCCTCCTTCCAGACTGTGGATGAATCCATGAGTGCTGCCACCACCCTGTCCACACCCCAGGACCAGGTGGAGGACTTGATGAAACAGGTGGCCGAGGAGAACGGGTTAGAAATAATGGACCAGATTCGGGATCTACAACCTGGTCAGTCCTCGTTAGCTTCTACGGCTACCACAGAGTCGAATAAAGAAGACCAGCTGTCTAGGAGGTGGGTGTTGTCTCCGTTGTTGCATTAACCTTGTAATTGTGTGGTCTGTGATATATGCTAGTAGAACCACTGACTAGAGATGATTTTTATGTAAATTTGGCATCGGACTAGTTAAAAAAGATTTTTTTTTCTTCAAAGTGAAGATTGGATTTATGGACATTTTTGATAAGTGGTTATTTTAAATTATTATACTTATTATATTATATATATATATATATATATTTTTTTTTTGGGGGGGGGGTTGGGAAGATAAAGGCATACCATCTGCAATTGAAAATGTCCATAAGTAATATTTTCTATGTTTACATATCTTGCAAAAATACTTATCTTTCCCAATTCTGACTTTAAAGTGATAAACCCCTTCAAATAAAAGCACCTGATGACCTGATGTCAGTTATTCCTTCTGCAGGCCACCTTTTAGAGCTAAATAATTTTATTAGATATAGAAAATTAATTAGAAAGGAAAAAATTGCATACATTTTTTAGGAAATTTTGATTTTTTATTAGGGGAAATTTCTAGTTAGGATACCTTTAATTTTGATTCAGACTGGTAATTTTCTGAGCATACCAGTCCTGTGACCAATTGGCTGAAATGTGTTAATAGTCTAATGATTGTGTGATAAAACACACCCAATGTAACACATAATAGATGAAATGTGTTATTTTGGCACAAACAGAAAAAAAAAACACATAAGTAAAGCCAAAATCTAAATATATAAATGCCTATCACAGGTTTGCAGGCAACTTTCAAGAGAGGGTGAATATAACTTGCACATGACTGTAATGCAGATAAAATGAATTTCCTATGCAATAAAAATTAAGCATATTTTATTCCATTTCAGGTTAGCAGCCTTGAGACACTAGTGATGTTTAAGAAGATATGCCAGTGTTCTTAAAAACTTGTACAGATGTCAGTGTCAGGTCGTGACCAGTCAACTGAGGTCTGATTACCACAGTGTTTTTGTACATAATGCTTTGAGGACTAATTTATGTAAAGTTTTAGAATAGAAAAAAACTGGTAAGGAATCTGGTGTAATTATATTTTAACTGCTGATGATGCCCTGGCTATTGAAAAGCATTTGAAACCCCGATGGACAACTCTGTAGGATCTACAATTTTTTAATGATATATTTTTGTCACTTTTATCTCATAAACTTGCCTTTGTATTAAAATTGATATGGTGAGTAGCAGGTTAATTTCAAGGAGTTCCTATATTCTAGTCACTTCCTTCCACCAGCTGCCAAATTTTGTAAATTTTGCCTTGTACCTAAGTTCTAAGCAAAGATTCCATCTTATTGTTGCCCCCATCCAGAAGTAAAATAAGAAAGTAAAGGCCAAAATGAAGCATTTTGTTAGCAATATTTCAGGTAGGAAGTTGGGAGGTATACATCCCAAGTTTCATAGATTATTGGCCTTAAATTATCAATATTCACATCTGCCATTTCCATTAACATCTGTAACTGGGGTTCGAGGGAGGGTTTGAGTCTTGCTGTCGTTAGCTTCTTCATTGTAAAGGTTAAAAAGAACGTTTTTATGCCCAAGAATTGCTCTTACTTCTCTCTATAAGATTTTGTGACCAGAAGCAGTGAAATTGTATTTTTAAATTATAGTTGAAAGAAGTAAGCTAAATTTTCTGAAATAATATTTATACTTACAACGATTTGTGGAGAAAATCAACAGTCCTTCAATATTAAAATTCCTTTTAACAGTATTTCAGATGCCATTTTTTCTTGTTCAGTAAATTCCCAGGTTTCACTTTGTATATAGCAAGTTTGTATGTAAACAGAAATAAAATGTAATATTAGAATGGATTAAATATGTGCCTTGGACTTTTAATTGGGACTTATTTGGAAAATCTCTGAAACGTGATCGTTACAATTTCACAAAGGAGACCCGAAACCTTAAAATTTGCTAACACGGCTTACGAGCAAGGACAAATGACATAAAACGGAACGGCCAATTTTTCACATTTCTGGAACTTCTTATCTTTAAATGTTATACAAGATCACCCATCAGGATCGGTTTCGTGATGTGGATTTAAAAAAAGTAGGTATTTATGCATGAACTTGATATGAAAATCGATCGCCTATTTTTTTAAAACTAGTCTCCAAATTAAAAATTGGGCAAATCTGATTGGCTGATCTCCATTGTTCGTGTTCAAAACACGTGATATTAGATAGCCATCTGTCGTCTGCCTTTTTTCCCCCCGTTTAGTGATGCCGAAGCAAATTTCAATAATTAAAAGAAACTTTATGGCATGTAACTTAGTCATTTATTTGATTTGGCAAAATAAGCTTGATAGCTAACTTTTGTTCGTTGGATCTTGATCAGTGATCTATCAAAATTTTAGCATTGGTTTCGGACGCCTTTTTTATGAAATAAGGTCGTATTGCAAAGACTTCAATCTAGTTTTCAGACATTTATATCAGCTTACTATTTCTAAGATGTGAAGTTGAAATTCTGAATGTTTTTTTTTATGAAATGATATCTATCTGTATATTTTGTGTGTGTGTGTGTGTTTATGAAATGATCAGTCAGAAATCGGGGATGTACCTGTATATTCTAATTTTCGCTCCAAATGTTTTACAGTTTGGAGAGGTAAGATTCCCGGTTTTATAAGTTGCTTCTAATAGCTGTAATTTAAATTTAAATTTAATTTTAATTTAATAAATTTAAAGGGTGAACAGGTACACTGTATGTTCGATGAAGTCACATTTTAAAAATGTAGAAAAACGCATTTATTATCTTATTATCTTAAAGTTTAAAATGGGAATGCTTGAATCATAACAAATGTGTATTAGGTGTTGTATTACTTTTGCCGCATTTTCAAATACACGTTTCATCTTTTGACTCTTAAATTTCATTTTGAATCCAAATTCAGTGCGCATCGTATTTCAGTGCAGGGGCGCGCGTGTCAAAATCGTCATATTTTACAACACCCCAACGTTAACTTTTGTCACAGTCCGAAAGCACCGCCCCTTCTGTTTACGCCAGAACGCGTCCGTAAAATTAACCTGCCTGACCGGATGGTCTCGTGCGACTTACTGAACTGTAAAAAGCACAATCTATGTCAACATGAGAATCGAGATGAACAAACTCCAAATTGACACCGGCCGTGACCTGTGTGTTGACTTCTTTTGGCAGTGGGCAAGGAGAAAGGCGAAGCGGCACCCGGTACGGAAAGGTTGCGTAACCGCCTCGACGTGCCCCGTTGTAAAAAGACCTCGCGCACCCCGGACGCTCCGCCAAGCAGTACCAGTTACTCCGCCTCTTAAGCGCCCAGACACGGTGAGACCAAGGTGTGCCGTATCAGCTCTGATCACACCCTTCTCAAAATAACCATTAAAAAGGTTCATATTGCAAAAATAGACGCGCCGAAAGTTGACATAAATGCCAGCAAAAAGTGGAAGGCCGCTGGATATCATGTTCGCTAGTTTTAACAATGTGCGACATCGGGGATATTGGCTGGGACTGCGGCAGATCTGATTTGGTTTATTCGGCGTGCTTGACTCTGCCTCTGTATCGTATTCACACTGAGATAATGTCTCAGTCAGTTCCCGATGGAACCAGACGCAGGGTGTTAATCTATAGAAGAAGCAATATTCTAATACGTGATCGCCCTTGAATATAATTTTAGAATAAGTTAATGAAAGGCATTACCTGTTTCTACAGAATTGAAAATAAAATAACAAACAAATGAAAGGCTGCTCTCAGTCTATCAAAAAATTTGTCAAAGACAAGGGAGTGAATTTTTGTATCAAAGTCAAGTGAGTTTGAAATTGATAATATTATTTTATTTCTTTTCTTTCATTTGCTTTATTATATCCCGGTTTAAGGTTATGACGATAATAAGGAATAATCGCAATACATTTCTTTTAGAATTTCAAATATATATTTAAAAAAAAGAAAAAATGTGAGAAGGTGAAAACGTTTGGGATGTTTTTTAAAGGCAGAGGGTGTTTATTTCTTGTATCAGAACAAAGTAGTGAGTTTTGAAATTAATAACCATTTTAAAACATTTTTAAAGCATGGAAATATTAGATTTTGCATGGAGGCTCGTAAAGGACAAGAGAAGGTGAATATGTTGAAAAAATCATATGGAAAAGGTGTTTGGATAAGACATTTTAAATACATGGGTAAGGTGGCATTGAGATTGGGCAATGAAGGAAAATTATCAACAAAAATCAGTATCGGCCGCCACTTCCTCATACATATCAAATTCCATTTATAAAATATCAAACATACATTTTGTTAAAATGTTTTTGGTGGTTAATTATAAATTATACTATGTTGCATCATATGATTATTCATGATTAATATTTAATATGAACTTGGTGAACTAGTGATAGGGGTACACGCATATCCACGATGTATATCTTTATATCGCGTCTTACAAAAGTTATCAAACAGATAGTTAGGTGACTTCCACCGATGTGAGGGATTTTTTTTTTTCATGTCATTAAAATTTTACCACTTGTGCATTTGCTTTTCTTTTACTTTCATACCAGTGATACAAAAACAAAATACCAGTGTATGGCTAAGAGTATTATTTGTATTTCGTGTCAGTTGGTACATTAGTATGAATGCCTTAAGGTATTTTATGATATAATCTCATTTGTGTAATAGCCTGCATAGTGTATGTGCTAGTACACAAAGGAGCGTGTAAAATGATTTTAGCAGTTTGTTATATCAAATCACCGTCTGAAAGCTGTGAAATAAGCGATTATTAACTTTATTAAAATGCTAAATTCTTTTGTTAGCAGAATTTTTTTGACGGCACATACGTCCTTGTATTATTATTATCGATATTTGTGTTGGTTCACTGGCTTTGGGTACACTTAAGTCGTTTACAAAATCTAGAGAACCAGTGTTATTGTCCGTCCGCAAAATAGCCATAGCCATAAAAAGTAAACACCTTATTTAATACACGGTGTAGTATGAACGGTTTTAAGTGCATTTTTCTTTCAACAATAGATAGGTATGACAAAAGCGCACGGTGCTAATCCTAATAAGGAATTTTTTTGTCAAGAGGACGCTTTAACATATACCAGTAAATGCTTTAGAAAGAGTATCATTAAAGAGAAATGCGTTTTAAGCAAGGTGGATGTAAGCGTTACATCACCACAGCGGTTCAGGTAGAGATTATCAAAACACGTTTGTACCGAAATGCACTTTTATTAACAATATGATGTTTGGTATAATATTGCTTTTAGCGTTCGTGCCCCAGGCAAATACTGAAGACATTGCTGGTCTGGTATGTTGCATGTACAGAGCTTGGAAGGTATGTGGTTTTCTATTTGATTATTTTCGTATTAACATATAATTTGTTGAATGTAAATTCGAATATATGAAGGTAATCACAAGAACGTGAATCTCTATCAAGAAAAATGTATCAATGCTCTTTTTGCTTGACTTTAGCTACATATTTTCATTTAAACACACATTTATGTTCACATTTTTTGGTAATGATAAATTGTAGAATTTAAAAATAATTACGTATGTTATTTAGTTTATTCAGTCATCGGAGAAACCCTCCCTCAATTCTCCATCTTAAAACTAAACAATATATTGTAATTTCGTAAAAATGATCAACGATTTACATTGATAGACGTCTCACACTAGCTGGTGTGAAAGCCTTGAGAATCCAACCTGCATTCCTCCTTATAAATAAGCCATGCTATAGGCCAGCATAGGCCCTGACCTATGTGAACGCGTCCACCTGCCAAAGAAAGAGAAAAATTCCACATCGATGTGACTATTACACACTTGGTATCTAGATTGCGCATGGTTGAACAATCGTGCAATATGTTATATAGTTTACGACACGGTCAGTCAGGGTTTTGAACGCACTAGCATATTTATTTGTCGCTTCTGAGGAGAGAACGCATTTAGGAAGGTCGCATGTTCGTCTGTTAGTGAAGTAAAAATGAAAAAGAAAAAAAAACCCGCTTCAGCAGGGGACCAATTATACAGACATATTTTTGTGTTTTCATAGTAGGTATGGAAATATCTCAGAATTGCTTGCTGAGGGGCTGCATTTCATTTTTCTCTTATTCCATGAAAATGTCTCCCTTTTTAAAAGGATGGTTTCATCATAGATTAAATAATACATTTAAGAGGTCTTTGGGAAGAAGATGTACTTGAGGAGAAAGACGCCTCGTTTTATTTTGATAGAATCAAAGACTTCTATGGCTAAATTGTCGTTGTTTATACCAAACGATCAAAATCCTCCCAAAATTTACTTTAGAGCAAAAAAATTTTAAAAAAATTAAAAAAAATTCTTGCCATTGTTTAAAAGTATCTCAAACCCTGTTTTATTTTCATAAATTATTCCGTGGGTATTTTGAAAAAAAAATGTTTAGCAAAATCTAAGTTGGGCTTTGCAATATACAGTTTATTTCAGTAGTCAGATGCTGGCAACCTGAACAGTATTTGAGGAAAAATCTACACCCGCAGACCGATGTTTAGTGCGGGAAATTAAGAGCAAAGAATGGACAAAGAGTAGAGGTCAAGTTTTGACGTTTATTAGGTAAATCAAGCAATTTATTGAAGTTTCAGAGATAAATAGCCTTTTTGCACCAACTGAATTGAAAATGAGTAATACGTATTTTTCAACTGCATTGCTTATTCGAAAGGAGGACTTTTGGTTACAAAGACATGATCCTAATTAGGCCATATTTTACTCATATGAGCTCTGTATAGAACTGGTGTTTATGACGACCAAAGAATACGCAAAGCAAAGAAAGAAAGCTGAAAATTCATTGACGTATAACGATACAATGTTGCAATATTGTGAGTTCGCTTGCGACGAGGATTTATTTAAATTTTCTGATGCATTAAAACATTTGGACATGTCCCTTTCATGCAGCATATGAACTCTCTATATATAGAAGAGTCATTGGTTTTAGAGCGCACAAACAGCAGGTGTGGGGAAACGCATTATCAGAAAAAGTGATGAACTCTGAAATTTTAAAAGGAGAGGGTGGAATGGTTGCGGAGCTGGGGCATAGAGGTGAGAAATGGAGAAGCTACCAGACAGAAAAGAATTCTCTCAAAAATGCCTTATTATTCACCACCTCACGATTTGTCAATTGTTATAAGCCCAACTTTAATTCCCCTTTGACAGTTTTTAGATTATTTGTCATTGGGGTGTGGACGGGAGTTTTACGCATTTAAAACGAGGGCTTCTTATTCACGTTATTGTGCGTTCCCGTATGACCGCCTATAGCTGAGCTATCAATAAAAATCTCACTCAAAAGAGGTCGAAGTATCGGCAATATTTGCGCAGCTTTATAATGATATTTTACCATTCAACCATTCAAAGCGTTCAGGGGCGTAAAAAACCTCCACGCCAGATTAAGCATAAAGAGCGGTGAAAACAACCCTTAACAATGCACAAGTCTCACCTGAACGCTGGAATTTGCATTGTCAGAGCACCATTCAACGCTGTCAACATGCGTCAGCGTGAGTTTTATCCGTAGCGAGGCAAATCTTAATTTTGGAGGAGTTTCTGTATGTATTTGAGAAAGACCACAAATGGCGATGAAAAATTGCACTTGCGGCACTGACAGCGACGCCACAGGCTCGGCTATTTTTTTCTCCCCTACAGGTGAGAAAGCTTTCAACTAACACCGCCATAATTGTACGTATATGTACAATCTCGCCTTTGAAAACACCTTTAGATTTGTAAGGTGTTTGTTAAGTTAAAAACCACGCGCCTCATCGAATTTCGGGTCGTAAAATTTCATGGGCAATTAATGGCTCTTAGCGTAACAGGCTGAGAATAAAAAACGGAAAATATTTTTTGGGAATTGATTTTTGCTCCGGTGTTAAATTTCTACGCCCGACAGAGCTTACAAGGCAACAATCTCTTCCTGCGTCGTAGAGGGTAGTGTTTTTTACAAAGTTTTTTTTGTCTAAATGCCCACACACATTCTGTTGTAATCTCCACTGTCTCGATTTTTTTTTCATTCACAAACTGTATTTGTAACGTAGTTAAAAAAAGAGTACCTATTAACGGTGACTCTTGGTTTTTCAGGCATAGAAAAAAACTAGTTGTAAATTACAGAGACGCCCTCAAATCAACCGCCAATATCTATGAACGCCCTAATTTTGTCTCGCGTTACACCTACATCGTTTTTCTTTTTCTTTTTTTTCAGAAAATCCAATGTCGTGAACCGGCACTGTCAGCGTTCTGCAGGTGCGGTATACGTCTATTGCAAGAACGGAGGAGTAAAAGGGGTGATTGGTTACATAAAATTTGGTTATCCATCCTTAAGATTTCACACGATCTACCTCGATATAAGGATAGTATAATACGGTTGAATAGGCCGAGCGGAAAGTACAATATCCCCTTTCGCAGTCACTCACATTGCCTGGGGCGGCCCAAAACGTTCAAATCTAGGTGCTGATGGATTCAAAATATAGACAGAGGAAGAATAAATAATCCGCCTTGTTCTTCGCAGGAACGACTTACCACCTTGCCCTCGTTGCAGTGTAAATAATGGTTAGTGTGTAACTTTCAGTATTTCAGCCTTCAGAAACGGTTGTAATGCTAATCGCGCGCGAATAACTCACATGGAAGATGCCTTGTAATTTAGTGAAACGACCGAGAAGGATAGAAGGCCGGTAATAGCTGGCGAAGCCGACAGATATCACGGTCACATTTAACCAATGGTTGTCTGTAAAGATGACCATAGTAGTGGGCTGTGAAGTCTAGTGAAAAAAACAAAGTCGTATTTGATTTACGTTGGTTTTGAATGAATTCTATTTTTACCACTTGCATCGATGATAGAGACGATTTCTTGCGTGTCCGCTGAAAACAAGCTATTGATACGGTGCGCAGTGTGTGCGTTTTGGAATTTTTCTTCTGCTGTGATAAAAGACGCACGGTGGCGTTAAATATGCATTCTCTCTGGATCATTAAAAGTCAAGGTGTGCGCATGCTGCTTATAAAGCGCCTCTGATGCTCGGCTCTGTCTCGTGGGCTGAAAACTCTCCAAATAGACACTCCGGGGTCAGGGCAATTTTTTTTCAGAAGGGACAACAATCAGCGACTTCATGTCAACGTTCAAACGACATTGTAGATCATTGTTGAAGAAAATTCCTCCCACGACTGGGTGAAATTTAGAATCAATCGATGCAGTTGATTTGTTAAAGAGAGACCGACCGGTGAAGCGACCGACCTTGCTCTTGCGAATATACGCTCGGATTGGTGGAAGAATCTAGCTCCCTGTGGTGAGGGGATATAATAACCGCGGATTGACTCCCTGTATCATCGCATCCACTACGCTGATCAAACTTACCTATATACTCATACATAGATGGACATAAGACTAGTGCAAAGCTTACGACTAAGCTGAAAACGGTAATACACCAATGCAAGAAAACTTAAGAGATTTTATTTGAGATTTTATCTTTTATTACCCTTGCAAGATCAGGATTTAATTTGGGAATTTTGAGAAAAATCAGATTTTCCACATAGCTGCCGAGTCATTGGAGTGATAATCTTCTTAGAGAAAAAGAAAAGTGGGTTCATTATGCGGTCATCTTGGAACAGTGTTACATGGACATGTCTGGTCTTGATGAGCTTGACCATTGGTCAGGTGGATTCGGGCTACTACGCAGGTGCTCATTTTTCCTATCGTCCCGCAAGTGCTAATGGACTCGGAAATGCGGTGAGTGCAATTATGTTTAGAAATATCAATCTCAGCCCTATAAGTAAACGATTTCTTTGAGCTGTTGAATTGCAGTGTTGTTACGACCACGTGTTATGCACAGCTTTTGGAATAAATCTCATTGAAAATTTCAGATTAAAACATCGAGACCCCCCCCCTCCCAATAAAATGCTCAGCTACGACTACGATAGAACTATAAATCCGTAACTCGTTGTGTGCATTTTTACGTGGATTGAATCAATTTTACTTGGATTGAAGAATATCTGAAAATTTATGCAGCCCTATACACGTGCTACATAACAGTAGGTCGGTCTCATTAAACGGAGTTGCGAATGAAGGGAATATGAAGACAGTGAATTTACGCATGTTTTCTTTGTAGTTGTTAACTGATCAGAGTTTTGGTAAATACACAGGTTAAATCATTTTATGCAATTTTTTCCTCTCTCTCTTTATTCGCTTCGTACTTTAATTATTTCAAATCAATCAACGAATACACCTAAGGCTCAGTGATATTAATAAATACTTAAAGATAATTCCCCTAACCTTAGACTGTACAAAAGACAATTGACTAGGTGAATAAACCCAGACAAAATTCACATACCAGAACGACCTTAGCTATATCCTACCATAGAAGTAGAGATCCTATGTAGGCCTGTAGCGTGAACTGAACACGGGCTAAGGTCGGGTATTTGACCGTTTACATAGTAGAAGTGTTCACCAATATAGTGTCTGTACGTTGCTGCAACGTATGAGATGCGCTACCCGTTCTAACTCCGTCCACCCTCTTCTTGTGAAATCACTAGTCTTTAAAGACCACTAGTGTCCAGTGACTCTGTTTGGTGTGTCCACTAAAATGTAAAGTGACCAGTGGACACGCGAGCGTGAGCAAGTGTCCGATGACAAATATTTTTCTCGAACACCTGAACTAAACAATAAGTATAGAAAAGGTGATCGATGTCGTTTTAGAGTTGTTGGACGTTACTGAAATGGCTGAATGGCTTCACAAGGCCAAAGCAGCTAGACGGTGAGAAGGGGAAAACCTAGAGCTGTATGCATGTCACGCACGTACCTAGGATTAAGGGTTTCTGTCAACCGACCTAAATCTTATTTTACTGACACTCAATTCCGAACGACAGATTCTACATTTTTTCTTTTGAAATCTGATTGCAACACAGACCAACATAGACCTTTCATTTCTTCGTTAAAATTGTTATGGTCATCACTTGATGAGTGTCCGTTATTCACAGACCGATGCAGTAAGTTTATCTACAGTAAGTAAAAATGTAAATAAACCTAAGTATCATGTCAAACTCTCAGTCTCAGGCAGTCCTTACTGTTTCGCCTTAACTGTGTTCATTCACTATTTTCACCTGAGCACAGCTGTACTTAGTTATTATATTACACTGTGATCATTTGAAAAACATCCATAAAAGCTGCATTTACATTTGTGAATAGTTTAAAACATGTATTTCCCATAATTTTCTTTCATTGAGGTTTTGAATTACACATTCCATATATACATTTTTTTACAATGAAGTTGATATGAGCTGGGGCATACTTGAGTACGTCAAGTGCCTGATCACAGCAGTTTTTTCCAGTTGGTTAAATAATGATTATATATATTATTATTATTTCCTAAACCCTATATGCGTTTACGACAAGTGCGTGGAAACTGTCACGTTTGGACTCTCAGGCGAATAGCTGTCAAATAGGAATTCGGCTGAAATTAATGAAATGGTTTTGTGCCAGGCAAAATTACACAAGGGGCCTGCGATGTTGGCGGCGGTGGTAGTGCCGCTCACCCCTAGGAGTGAGTTCATAACCGTATCTTTTGATCTCAGGGACCTTAAAAAAATATATATAAAATTAAAGTATTGGCTACAATAGTTAATCTATTGTTCTAGCTGGTGCACATTATCTCCGTATCTTTTGATCTCAGGGACCTTAAAAAAATATATATAAAATTAAAGTATTGGCTACAATAGTTAATCTATTGTTCTAGCTGGTGCACATTATCTCCACTAACTCCACTTACTTTTAAGACGTAGGCTATTATGCCACGAAAATCTACAAAATAAAGAAGATGAAGCAAAAATGGCATTTACTTATAAAGACGAACGTTGTCTGTCTGTCTGTCTGTCTGTTTGTCATACCTCCGTGCCCAAAATTCTCTCTCTCTCTCTCTCCTACAAGCACAGAGACACTAATACTGGAATGAGTCCTCGCTAGAAGAGCCCAGTAAAATAAAATAGTATTAAATACCAGTAGAAGTTAAGGCCTGATAAACTCATTCCGATAACATCGCCCCTGTTCTTAATACTCTTTGATCTGCGGTATCTGAGGACGTAACGCCGTGGCTCTCGATTACATGTACTTATTTTATTAAAAGATAGTCCAGGGGCCGTTTTCACAAAAAGGCTTTAGCCCGAATTTTGGTTGAAACTTTCAGACCAAAAACTTGGTCTATTTTGGTTCAAGGTAAATCCGCAGAAGCCCGTTGAAATAAAGGAAGTGTCGTTCTGGAACATTAGCCAAGTCTGTCTCGTTATAAAACAGATGCATTATTTCATTTAAAAAAGACGACTAGTGATTTATCCCAACTCAAAGTAGACTAAAAACATAGATCTAAAAGTTTAGACCAATCATCGGGCTGATGTTCTTTTGTGAAACGGATCCCATGTCGTAACTCGATCTTGCGATGACAAATAGCGTATTGCATCGGCAAGTCAGGTAACGTAGGAGCTGTTACGCCAGGCAATGGCTCACGAAATTGAAAGAAAACGGAAGAATGCAGACTTGAAATGAAGTTTGAAATTCCCTTGTACTTACACAATGATCTGAGTTGATGTAAAGACGGTTAATACCTTGAAGACGACGTCGGGTCTTCCCCATACGCGGTTATGTCAGTTTGCATTTGAAGGAGACAGTGGAGAGAGGGGACGCATTGTAAGGCAACATATAGGGCCCAATTAAGACATATGTTTTTTCACATCCAAACCGCATCAAACTCATTTTTGAAAAAAAAAAAACAGCATTGCGTTTACTTGACTATAAAATATCAAGCCAAACGCGTACTTTAAATGAGGTGTGTTTGAGGTATAAAACTATGGCCCTCCATAATAATAAAAAAGAACCGGGTGAACCGTTTACTACCATACAAATATCCTCCAGACTCAAATCTGGGTTTCAATCGCTTGTGCCCTTGCTGTGGTGAAATATAATCATAAGGAAATGTCTACGTTGAAATCGCCTTAAATTACTTTGGGTTCGGTCATGCAGGTAAAGATGATCATGAAACAAAACATAAACGATTTCCGACACCTTTCTCACGACGTCGTAGTAATTATACAGTCGTCAGCCCAGCAGAAGACCACCTGAAGTTGTACCTTTGTCATTACTAACAACCCACTCAACAAGCCTATCATGAAGTTGATTTCCAACATTTGATAAAAAAAAAAAACAAACAAACCAAAAAAAAAAAAAAAAAGACTGCACAATTTTGTAAATAATTACTGGAGTCTAACAACGGACATCCATTTGACTATAAAACATAATGGCAGATTGAAGTTTACCTGTTGGTAAAAACTTAAATGCCCAAACGTTTTAGTTTGGGTTCTTCTGCTGAGGGATAATTTCATTTTTTAATAGTTATTTCGAATTTTTCGAGATCGAGAATTTCTATACACATTAATTTGGGTTTATTTTTATTGTATCTAAAAGTTATCTATAGTTTTTCGAGAACGTGTATTCTGGTACATGTAACTAGGAGCAGGATTTTGCGGCGTTTGACGCTTTTTGGTGTATTCAACATAGTCATATTTAGTTTGCCGACAAGAAATGTAAGAACCTGATTGCGAGCTAAGGGACAATTTCTTTTGTATCTAAAAAGTTATTAATAATTTTGTAGACAAATTATTTTAAGACATTTCTCTGTGGGTGGGAAGTTTTTCTTTTTTATTTGCAATAGTTATTTTTAGTTTTCCGAGTATTCTAAGAACAAGACTTTGCGTTGGAAGACATTCTATTGTATCTTGACTTTATTTCTAGTTTTGCAAGATGTTAGTGCAATGCTTTACATTGCGGGAGATTTTCTTTTGTATCAAAAATAGTCACTTTCATTCTATATAGAGAAAACATGACGAATTTTACTGTCTGTGCGCAAGTTGGTGGCGGCAAGAACAATCGTAATTTCTTTTTATCTTTCTAATACGAAATATGAATACTAATAATGTGTCGAAGATTCGACAACAAGTCTGTTAGCATAGCTTTTATTGGTAAGAGGTGAAAAAAATCTGCTGAAAATGCCGTTTCTAAAATAATTTTAGATAATAGACTGTATTTGTTTAAAAAAGTAAGTGCTCTTTCAAACAAAATCTGAGATGAGTTTCTTCTAAGATAGAACTTTCTTTTGGGAGTGAATAGCTGACATGAACTTTACACAAAAATATTGGATATAACTGAGAGTGAAATAAATCTCTTTACAAGCGTAGGCGCCCTTGTGGCAAATATTATCTTAGGAATATCCTGTGACGTCACTAGACAAAAGTTATTGTAGGCAATAAAAGTTTGATAATTTCAAGTTCGAGTTCACAGAAACTGCACTTGCGGTGCATCTGTTTTTTACCAGGGACTTTGTTTTAGCAAGCGGGTTCCTGGAAAAACGTCGCCAGACTGCTTGGAGAGACAATGCTCAACCCAGACTACTTGTAACCTATTTAAAGTTCACGTATAAAAAGACGGAATTGTTTTCTAGTTCGTGTCATTATCAGAGCTCAACTTTCTATGGCTTTTCACTCGCTGCTTCCAGGAACGTAAACTGTTCTGTCTCTGTTTCTTTCCACACGGAATTGACGCTTACACGGTTCGGTGAACGCGATGTGATTCTTTAATTTACATATTTGACATTTCTGTTCAGCCGCCTTAGAAGCTTTTACGGAAGGAAGCTTACAATATGACTCAGCAATCCAAATATTGATAGTGTTGATAACGACGTAATTAGA